GGAACAATGGCTTTGAATTGAGGAATGCTCGTGGTCCTACACTACCTTCCAAGGGTGATAGCTAAAAAAAAAGTCCAATGATTTGTATTGTAGTACACTTAAACCAAGAGGTGAAGAATAAAATGATCTTAAACTACATTCATATAGCAGTAATTTAATCAGTACAACAGTGATTTATTTTTTCACCCAGTTATGCCTCCAGTTTTAAGTGTTCCCTCTCAGAGATCCTTCTACGCAACATAAACCCCACTTTGCTATCTCAGAGCATAGCCTTGCACTAAATGCAATTGGTCATTTGGGGGATGTTTTGTTGTGGATAAGTTATTTAACAACAGAAATGGCCTGGTTTTTAAAGCCTTTTGTATTTCAGTATTTTCTACTGCTAGAGCTAGTTTTTTGGTACCCATTGTAGAACAGTCTCTAATCCTAATACTCCTGGTTATCCCTAATCCTAATACTCCTGGCTATCCCTGTGCTTTAGCTCACACAATGATGCAGTCTTGGGGCTCTGGGTTCCTTTCAGATGGAACTAAACTGGAAGATGTATTCCTTCTGCAAATGAGCATTCAGTCTATGGGACTAGATTAGAACTAGTCCAGAGCATGTGTCAAGAAAAAACAGATCTTCCACACTCCTTTCATCTACAGATGTTTCCATCAGTCTGAACATAGCCTCTGACAGCAGCTTTGCATTTGAGACTACCTTATTTTTGCTTGAGATACTCAACTCGGTTTTAATGACTTAGACACTTGTGTAGCTGGCAAGAAATGGGGGTATGTGTGTGTGTGTGTGTGTGTGTGTATGTGTGTGTGTGTGTGTAAATGGTTCATGCTCAAGAAGCCTTCAAAATTTTTTCTTCATCATGTTCTTGATAGAAAATGTAAGCAGTAATACCGTCAATTTAGAAAAAAATAGTCATTGTTCCTTGTTTTCCATTTGGTAGAGGAGGGGTCCTGTGAGCTTGTTCAACTCTTTGCATGGTAACCTAAGATGGTACCTGTTATGGGGACAGCAGGGTTCTGGCAAGCTCTTCCATCCTTCTTCAGGACTTGGGACTCTGCATTGTGCACATTTGGCTTTGCCTGGGTTCAGCAGGCAGAGGCTAACTACTAAAATGAGTTTCAATTGAGATGTTACCATAGCATCCTGGGACTTTTACAATCTATTTAGAAGTCCAAAGTTTGAAAAGAGTACTTGAAAGTTTCTGGACTCTGGCAGGTTGCCGAAATGTAAATACACAAAAGACAAAGCCTTATGAAAGCTGCTCTGTTCAGAGAAGCAGCACCTGAGTGCTAGAATTCCCAGCACAGCCATTTTTGAGAGCTGTGGCTGTTTTATCAAAGTCTCCTCCCAAACCTTTTTCCTTCCCCTCACATGCATGTACCATCCCACAAGCATGGGTGTGATGCAAGATGCAGCCCTCTCAGCAGTGGTGTTGGAGGTGACTGTTCTGGGGTTTGGCTGCTCTGGGACATGTGAAGGAAAGGAGTGAGAAAGCATCCTGAAGCCCCTGCTGTAAGAATTTCTTTAGATAGCTCCATCAAGTGAGAACCTTGCTTTATTCTTCTCTTGTCTTTCTTCAGGATTTTCTCACAAGTGAATGGAAAAGGCTGTTTTGTTACCAGAGTATCCAGTTGCCTAACAATTCTTGTGTGAAATACGAGTGCTCACAGTAAACTGGTATTAACTAATGAACATTCAATTCAATTTGTAGTCTTGGTTTCACCAAGACAAATAAAATCACATCATTAGTAACTATTGTTACTCTTCCAATTTGCCTTCTCTATTTACTGATAATGTAGACGACTGAAGCAATCATTAGGTTTGCGAAAGGAGGCTTGGAGACTAGCACAGTTGTTGAAAGCTTTCTTCTGGAAGGAATCTCTTGCAGATGGCTGTACTTTAAATGCCTAAAAGGGGGAAAAAGAGCAGTTAATCAGAGAAGTGAAAAATTATTTTCCCTGCTTCTGGGTTCCCAAACCCATTTCTAAATGATTGAGGACAAAGTAATAACTTGTTGAGGTACCCTTTTTTTTCCTGTCTTCTTCAAATGTGCTGAAAAGCTCTGGCCATTTAACTTTGTTAACAGTATGATCTGTTCAGTGAGGAGGACAGATAGAGGGAAGACTGAGCAATCCTACAGGAAGAATTTCAGCAGCTGTTCAACTTGCTAAGAATGATTGAGCTTAATGGTTAAGTTTGTTCCTTTATTGTTGATACCTTGCTTAAGCCATTTCTCTGAGTGCAACTTGTTTCATTTTTGTATTCAAAAGCAACTGGGAAAAAAACGTCTGTTTGCATGTGTATTAAAATCAAGGTAAGGTGTTGGTCGTATGCCCTACCTACTGGTAGAATACGTGTAACAACTTTGGGTTGTCATAATTTTTCTTTGGTCCAGAAATGCTTACCTGTAAGACTCACACATTAATGGTAACTTCATCTCTGGGCAGCTGTAAAAAAAAAAAGGTAGCCAAGTTATTTTGGTACTGCCTATCTACCCATGATACAGGAATTTCAAAATATATAGTTTATTCAAAATATATGGTGTTCCTGTTCCTTATAGTGATCTTGACCCTGTCTGAGAGTAGATTTGTTACTGGACTGCTTTCTGGATAGCTCCATCATGGGCTGGCTCCTTTGAGCTGAACTTTTGCTACTTATAAAAAGGAATTTATAAAGTAGGGTTTCTGAAATGTAGCATCTTAACTGGGATAAAATTCTGACTCCCAGGCTTGCAGTCTTGAGCTTTTGGGGGAAAATCTTTCCACTGTATAGTTAAACAAAATCCTCCTTTACTCAACTAGCTGGCGGCACTTGGCTGTCAGCACATCCAGGTGTGCTGATGTTCCAGCATATCCACCCACTCTTTTAACTGAGTAAGCAACAAATGATATCATACCCTTCTGCCTGGTAGGTTTAGAGCCATGCCATGCTGAAAATGCAAGTGGCTGGAGTTTTTGCTTATTAGAAATAAGGATTAATGTAGTAGGACTGTCTTTTGTGAATTAATAGTAGGTTAGCTTCATGTCTGGACCTTTCCATTACAATTGTGCCAGGATCTGCTTCCAAAATTTGCATGTTCTGTAGATGTTCTGAGCAGTATAATTTGGTGCATTTAATTGTATCATTGTGCCTTCATTTTCTTTCTCTTCCAAAATGTCTCCCTTACGTGTGTTATCTTTCTGAAAGCTGCCTTCTTCTATTACAACAAGTTTCTTCTTTTTCATCTGTAGCCTTCTTTTCTCCATCAGTCTGTCAAATCATCAGCGAAACAATGCAGATCAGAAATGAAAGAAGTCATACAGGCTGTGGTTTGGGATGAGAAGATCTGAAATTCCATTTCCAGCTTTGTCACAGGCATCTTGTGGGACTTCTTGCAAGTTACTTTACCGTACTCTGAACTTGTTCACTCTAAGGCAGTGAGCAGCAGCACTTTGTAATGAATACTCTTTACTCACAGTGGTAGTCATGTAATTTTGGCATATTTTGATCCAGCACATGATTTATTTATTTACTTTAATCTCTTGGGACAATGGTTGTGCTTTACTTTGCATGAAAAAGGTTTCATAAATATGAAATACTGTATTTGTCCATGATATTTACAGAAAGAATACTCCTGATTCTAGGATTCAAGTGTCACGAGTGTTTCTTAATCATAAAGTGATTGTACTTATTTTGAGTTACCTTTCCTTCTGGGTAGGGAGGCTAGAGACTGCGTTCTGTACTACCTTTCAACACATGACAACAGATTGCGTTCGCTCATGTGTTTGAGAACCAGGATATTAAAAATGAGAAATTGTGATTCCTTTTGTAAAAATTAAATGCCTTCTCTCCACACACACCCACACCCAGTTGTTACATGCCTTTTTAAATTTTGCTAAACTCTGTTTGGTATAGTTCTCTTTCAAATGTGAAATACTTTTCTATGTTCATCTTCTATGAAGGATAAAGTGATTTAAAGTCTTTGTATTTAAAGAGGTGAGTTAAAATTGCAAACTGAGAGGGTTCACACTGACCACCGGATTTTGTCTGTTGCGGAGATGCTACCTATGGAGAGGATCTGCTGTGATGAAAGTAAACTTGTATCTTTTCATTAATTCTCTCCTATGAGGGAGAGTTAAGCTGCTGTCCCAAGTGAATGTTTTAATGATCTCTCTGGAGTGTTTCAAAGCTTTGTCCCACTTGCATGATGCTGAGTGAAATGCACAAAATCTATCTTTGAGGCAACCCTGTCATTATACCTTTCGGTATATAATGTTTGTATTTGCATTTCTTTTGTTCTTGTATGTTGAGCTTTACCATGCCCAAAGGAGAACTTCTTGCACTTCAGAGAAACCTTTGTAAGACAAATGTTTGCTGTAATAAGTTAGCCTAAAGTGCTTACAACTCATATTTTAGAAATTTATACTAAAATACAAAAACATGAGTGTTGAATTGAAGATCCATCATAATGACCAGCTACTCTTTTCAAAGTGCATTAGTGCAAATTGTTGTTTAGTGATGTGTCAATCAGCTTTTCATCACAAATACAGTAAATTTTATACATCCAATAGTCAACTTTCAGTAACCTAGAAATGCTATCTTGAGCCTTCTCTTAAAGAGGATTTTTTTTGTGGCTTTAAAGAAAACTGTAATGAAAATAGCAGTGAAGTTCAAACGGTACTAAAAGAAAGGGCATCTTCCGGTCAAATAAACGACAGTTACTCTTGGTAAGCCATTTTCCAATGGATTGTTTTCAAATAAGTGGGTCTTGGACACTCCTTGCTGGGATTCTTTAGAATGAATTTTACTTTCACAAACCTCTAATTCCCATAATTAAATTTCAATGTGTGGTTTTTGCAAATAATGTTCTCTCTAGAGAACAGATGGGTATAAACTTTGGAGATTTGGTTTCACAAAATGTAATGGCCAGTGGTTTTCTTGCTGCTGTTCTAGTTGTTCCCAGAACATTCATGTTGGTTCAGCTTTCTAACATTCTTGTTTTGACTTTATGTCCACAGTTTTAACAGCGTGCGGCAAGGAACACACATTTTGTTTCGTGAGTTCAGCTTTGTTCAAGCCACCCCTCATAACAGGGCATCTTTTCTTCGGACCTTCTGGAGGTGTTTCCGAACTGTGGGGAAAAATGGAGGCAAGTATTCCAGCATCTGCTGCTGTCCTGTTACCTTGACATGAAAATCATTAGCTGGGCTATTAATGCACTACAAATACTGACCCTTCACATTATGTTCTAATATTCTAACATTATTTATTGGGGGACAACATCACATTTCCCTGTGGGATGGTTAAAAATGGCTCCCAGAAAATAGCACCTTGTTGCTAGCACTGCTTCTGTTACATAAGGGCCTGTCAAGCAACAATAGATCAGAGGGAGGACATTGTGAGCCTGTGCATTGAGATGGATAGGAAAAAAAATGTGCTGGAGGTTGGTGGCTGGGACCCAGAGAAAGTTAGAATATCAGGTGTGGTGCATGAGGGAAGGGGGTGCTGAAATTCTCAGCCAGCTGGGCTCCTGAGTGCTTTCATTAGGAGCCTGCAGGAGGTTGCATTCATAGCGGTGTGGGGTGGCTAACGCTGCCACCTGAGCTGTGCCTGAATAGTCCTGCCATAGCTCCTACATGGTGCTGCAGAATCCTGTAGTGGAAGAGGGACCACTGACAACTGTGTGACCTCTTCCCCAACCCTACCCACAAGGAAAAAGCTCCAGTGCCAAAATAAATACTCAGCACTGTGCTATCATGCCTAGCTATTCTTATATTGCACTTGGTATATTAGGTATTTCAGAACTGGCCAGAGTTCAAAATAAACTCCTGTAACTACATGCAACTAAAATTATGTTTTATTTTACTTTTTAATTTAGTATTTTAAGCAAATACACTGAAAGTTGCTGTACAAATATGAATGTTGGTGGGGTTTTTTTTAACTATAAGCCTCATTGTTTTCAGGCTATTCAGCCTCATTTCTTCTTGCAGGAAAGATGTCTCTTAAATACAGATGAAACCTTGCCTTCTGGCTAAGTTTTGCAACACTTCTGCTTTTGATGAGCAGAGTTTGCCAGACCATGAATAAAGACTTTTTTGACGTATGCCATCTAGATTTTTGGCAATTAAGCAATCATAGTTAAACATGACAAAATCTGTAGTAAGCTACTGAGGTATCTGACCATGATGTCTGTAACACCTTCTTCCCAGTGAGAGGTACTTTGTTATGTTGTAAATAATTGACTTTAGTTCAGGGATAATATTTTAAAGATTTCAGAAGAATTATATGATACTAATTTAAGAGTATGCAGTAAGGACATATCTGATTTGAGATTGGGTCATAATCAGGAAAAATAAAATGTAGAGTCCTAGAACATATTTCTGTATAGGAGTTAGAGATAATAGTGAAGAAGTCATCCACGAGAATTGCAGCTGTTAGTAGTAAACCATATTGAAAAATTGTGAAGAAGCTCTCTGATGCAAAGTGTCCACTGCAGTACTTTCAGTGCAAGTTTTCATCAGGCTTTATTTATCCAGCATTGACCTCAGCCAGAGAAAGGGCACCCGGCTTTGTTGAAACAAATGGAAAAGTTATAACTTTGTAACATCTCCTTTCTCTTTAACTTTTAGTAGTTTTATGTGAGTATGGAAAAGGCCGTGGAAGAAAGTGCAATCACCGAGGTACTTTGAAGAGAAAGGGTAATAAGCACAGGAACAAAAGCTCAGGTGCATGCTGCTAAGCTCTGGTTGTGGCCTAAAAGGAGTTTGGTGTATATTTTTCTAACTTTGAAGTCCAGTAGCTTCACATTTTAATCTGAGTAAATATTACATGTTTAACTGTATATTTATACATCTACATACATTTTCTTTTTACACTAACTAGAGACAGAAATGCATCACTCTATATAATGACTCTCAATATTTTCATCCACTTAGTCCAATTTTTCTGTTTTTCTAACCAGAATTATGAACTAGAACCTTGATATTTGTTGTTTCAGTTTTATTTGCTATGTAATTTTTTTTGCTGTACCTGTGTGTAGGGGAACTTGTAACATTCATGGCCATTTAAGAATTAAACTCATTTACTGAGAAGCTGAACCTGTGCAATGTGGTGGGTGAAATATGGTCATTACCACACTCAGGCATAGCCTAGAACTAGATTTTTTTCTTGGCTGTGTTTGCATGGGAAGCCTATGCTGGAGCAGACTCCTGGAAGGACCTGTGGACCCATGGAGAGAGGAGCCCATGCTGGAGCATCTTTGCTGGCAGCACTTGTGACTTCATGGGGGACTCAAGCTGGTGCAGTGCATTCCTGAAGGACTGTGCCCCATGGAAGGGACCCACTCTGGGAAGTCTGTGATGAGCTGCAGCCCCAGGGAGGATATTATGCTGCACAAGTTTGTGGAGGAGTGTCTCCCATGAGTGGAATGCCATACTGGAGCTGGGGAAGAGAGCAAGGAGATAGAAATGGCAGAAACAATGTGTGACAAGCTTCCTGGTCTCCCTGTGTCACTTATGGGTTGGAAGGTGGTAAAGAAATCAGGAGTGAGGTTGAGCCCAGAAAGAAGGCAGGGGTGAGTGGAAGGTTTAAGATTTTGTTTGATTTCTTACTATCCTACTGTAATTTCCTTCGTAATAAATTCAATTTCATTTCCCTAAATCGAGTCTGTTTTGCCTGTGATAGTAACTGATGAGTTATCTCTCCTTGTCCTACTCTTGCCCCATGAGGATTTCATTCTATTTTCTCTTGATTGTCTAGTTGAGGGGGTAGAGTGAAAGAGCAGCTTTGGTGGGCACCTGGTATCCAGCCAGGCTCAAACCACCACAAGGAGGTAGGTAATTTATGGAGTCCTGGTAAGAAATTCTGTTTATGGTTATATACTGTGCAACAGAGCATGGGACAAACAACCTGCTGTTTCTGAAATTAGTAACAATACAGCTTGGGCTAATATAGGAATATTACTTTTGAGACCTGAACTAGAATTTCTGCACTGGATGCCCTGTGTCAGGTATGGAGTGTTATTCATCAAATGGCCGCTTTATGTCAATGGAATTTCTGTGTGCAGAAAAGGATGATAATATACCCTTTGTTTTCTACAGCATGATTCTGATCTGCCCCAGTTTTCTCTCTGGGTTTGTTTCTGGGCAGGGATTGCTCTGTTCTTTGTCACTGATTTATGTCTGTGAAGAACTATGAAGGCATCTTTTGTTTTCCTTTGTCAAAAGTATTACATTCACTAACTTCCATGTCTTCTAGGATGTTCTTGGTTTTATTTATTCCTTTGTCATAAAAGTGTTTACTGCTGTTTGCCCCTCTCTCATTTACTTTAAATTTCATTCCAGATTTGAATTTCATGTTTTAGGAGTGAGTGGTGGCTTTTTCTTAATTTTCTCCATCTGTGGAGGGTACCCCTGATAAACGACATAAACACCAACCTTATGAGCATATAAGTCCACCTAATAAATAACTTACATCAAAGCTTTTACCTTGGCTGGAGAGAAGCAAGGGAGAATATTAAAGATGTAAGATGATGCCATTTCCAAGTTTATACAAACTCACAAAACCCCAAACAAACAAAACCCCCATCTTTTCATTTCTGAGTGTGTAATTGGGATTTTAGAAAAGTAGATAAAATCTCACAAATAAATTAAGTGATTGATTAATCTGGCTGCTAGCTGTTCTTCCTTGATGCAGGGAAATTTCCTGCTTTGTCAGTCTTGACCATGCCTTAATTTGGAATGTGTTGTTGTTCACTCAAGCAGATGCATCTAGCCATGAATTCTCAAACGGCCAATAATAGAGAAATCTGTCTGAACACAAGCAGTGCTTAAGTGTAACAATCTGTGTGTCTGCAGAACCATGTATACAGTAATTGAAATGCACCTAACATTACTGTTTCTCTTGGGAAATTGCTGTAGATGTTACTTTTCTATTTAATTCCTTATCCTTTTGAATTACTGGGAAATAGCTCTTCATGGAAAAATATAGCAGATTTTATGTTATTTTTCTATGATGTTAGCTCTGTTACTTGATGGGTTCTGGTTATATTGACCTTTTTAAGTCCTTTTGTTTGGAGACTAGATGTATTTTTTCTTTTGTCTCTGAATAGCAAGGGAAAATTACTAGGTTCAATAAATGTGATGGTAACACTTGAAAAAGTAAAATTTGTTGTTTGGGGGGGGGTTGTTTGTTTTTTTTTTCTTAAGGGGTTTTCTTTTTGGTGATATGCTGGATCTATTTTACAGGATTTTCCAGTGGTTTTAGAAGCTTAGTAAGAAGCAGAGTTCTATTTTCAAGTATGCATAAGCATATCTGGGATTCCATGCATTGAGAATGTGATACTAGGACTAGAAGGAAACAGATGAATGTGATCCAGTGTCAAGAAACTGAGGTTTCTTGTTGAAAAAAAACTTCACAGAATTTCTTATGATAGAATCAGAATATGCTGAGTTGGAAGTGACCCACCATGATCACTGAATCCAGTTCCAGGCCCTGCACACGATGACCCCACGAATCACACCATGTGCCTGAGAGTGTTTTTCAGATGCTTCTTGAACTCTCTCAGGCTGATGCTGTTGCCACTTCCCTGAGGAGCCTGTTCCAGTGCCCAAACACCCTTGGGGTGAAGAACCCTTTTCCTAATATCCAGCTTAAACCTCCCCTGACTCAGCTTCATGTCTTCCTTGAGTCTTGTCCCCAGTCACGAGAGAATAGGTATCAGTGCCTGCTCCTCCACTTCCCATTGTGAGGATGCTGAAGACCACAATGAGGTTTCCCCTTAGTGTCTTCTCCAGGCTGAACAGAGCATGTGACCTCAGTCACTCCTCATATGGCTTTCCCTCCAGATCCTTCCCCATTGTTGTAGCCATCCTTTGAACAATCTGTAATAGTTTCATGTCTTTCATATATTGTGGCACCCAAAACTGCACACAGGGCTCGAGGTGAGGCCTCCCCAGTGCAGAGCAGAGCGGAACAATCCCCTCCCTTGTCTGCCTGGTGATGCTGTGCCTGATGCACTTCTGGACATGCTTGCCCCTCCTGGCTGTCAGGGCACTGCTGACTCATAATCCACTTTCTGTCCACCAGGACCCTCATGCCCCTTTCCTGTGTCACTGCTCTCCAGCCTTTTGTTTCCCAGTCTGTCCACACAGCCAGGGTTGCCTCATCTCAGTTGCAGAATCTGGCACCTGCCC